ATCTTACTTCTCTCTCTGGCTGCTTTTAACAGTCTGTCCTTATCCTTGATCTTTACCATTTTAATTACTATATTAGTATATGTCTTGGTGTTGTCTTCCTTGGGTCCCTTGTGTTGGGAGATCTGTGGATCTCCATGGCCTCAGAGACTATTACCTTCCCCAGATTGGGGAAGTTCTCAGCAACTACCTCCTCAAAGACACTTTCTATCCCTTTCTCTCTCTCTCTCTTCTTCTGGTATCCCTATAATGTGAATATTGTTCCATTTGGATTGGTCACACATTTCTCTCAATATTCTTTCATTCTTAGAGATCCTTTTTTCTCTCTTTGCCTCAGCGTCTTTGTATTCCTCTTCTCTAGTTTCTATTTCATTTATCATCTCCTCCACCATATCTGATCTGCTTTTAATACCCTCTATTGTGCTTTTCAATGATTGGATCTCCAACCGGAATTCATTCCTGAGTTCTTGAATATCTCTCTATACCTCCATTAGCATGTTAATCATTTTTATTTTGAACTCCCTTTCAGGAAGAGCCATGATGTCCATGTCGTCTTTTTCAGGGGTTATATTAATTTTACTCTGAACCAGGTTCCTTTGGTGTTTCATATTTGTATATGGCACCCTCTAGTGTCCAGAAGCTCTACTCTCTGGAGCTGCTCAGCCCCTGAAGCAGTGTTGGGGGTCACAGGGGAGTGGGATTGGTGCCTGGGGGAAGGAAAGAGCTGTTCCCCGCTTCCCGGCTGCTGTGCCTGTCTCCACTGCCTGAACCAGTGGGCTGAGCACACAGGTATAAGCTTTTGTCCCAGAGTAGCTGGATATGGATTCCCTGCTTTCCACAAGCAGCTAGAATCTCAGTCTCTCCAGGAATTCTGCCTATCTTAGCTTTCCAACCCCATAATCATGAGAGTATCATGCAAGCACCATGAAGTGCAGGTTCGTGCTCCCAGAACAGATCTCCAGAGTTAGATATTCAGCAGTCCCAGGCCTCCACTCCCTCCCTGCTCAGTTTCTCTTCCTCCTGCCGGTGAGCTGGGTGGGGGAGGGGCTTGGGTCCAGCTGGGCCACAGCTTTGGTACATTACCCTGTCCTGTGAGGTCTGCTCTTTTCTCCAGGTGTATGCAGTCTTGTTCAGTCCTCTTTCCTGTTGCTCTCTCAGGATTAGTTTTATTAATTATATTTTCGTATTATATGCAGTTTTAGGAGGAAGCCTCTGTCTCATCTGTCATGCCACCATCTTTAATCTGACCTACCATCTTACTTTCTTGCAGTCTAGTATTTGCAATTTTAAGTGACTACAGTCTTGGATGATGTTTAAGTACCCCTGATTACCAGCTGTGATGGCATTTTTTAGCTTGGTATGTTCACATCAATAGCATATTGAATATTAAGAACACAGAGAAAGAAATGTGGAGTTTGGGATATAGTACAGGTTAGGGGCAGATTCTGGACCAGACTGCCTGCTTTCAAGCCTGGTTCTGCCACTTACATCTGTGCAACCTTAGGGGCTTGCAGAACTCCCCCATGCTTAGCTTCTCCTTTGGTAAAACCAGGATAATAACAGTACTTATCTAATAGGATTGTTATGTAGATGACATGAGTTAATATGTGTGAAACACAATAGGGCTGATGCACAGTAAACCCCATATGTCACAAAGCATTAAAAACTATTTTTCATGTCCAAATGGAAGGCACTGATATACACAGAAAGAAGACAGGGCTGGGTTTTCTAGGATGTTACCTTTGTACACTCTCTTAATAAACAGCGGCCCATCTCCAGACATAGATGACTTTCCTCCATCCAGACTCAATCCCAGCCCAGCCGAAGTCTTCAGCACTTCAACACACAGAGCATCGTGTGCAGCTGCACTTTTCTCGGCAGCCAAGGCATCTGTAAAAATAAGGACAGGGTGCTCATCACCTCGTGTCCAGTCCCCCCAAATGTCCCATGTACCTGGGAGCCCTGTTAACAGCTGAGGCCAGAGTTAGGGTTACCTCCCAAATTCGGAGCTGCCCTCCTGGCCTTGATCCTGCTGTCTCTGTACCCCTTGCTCTCTCCTCAGCACTTTCTGCAAGTGTGGACATCGCTTTTATGGCCAACCAGGAAGCCCCAGAAGCTACACTGCTAGTCAAACCCCTGTTGGTGCATGTCCCAGTGAGGACTGATGTGTCATACTGGTGGAACCAAGTTCAATTTCTTGCCAGCCCTGGCTGCCAATGGTAGCAGAGGTCACAGTCAGGTATTGAAGACCTGAGACCCAGATGCCTGGTGAAACTGGTCATTCTGCTGTTTTCTGATTCCTTCCCAAGCCTCTGTGGGGACCTTGGCCACAGCTCCTTGCTCCAGTCTCCTCCCCTTAAGCGCAGTCTGGCCCCATGGAGCCTCTTTCCCTTCCCCTTCTGCCACACGTGCCAAGTTCACCTGTGAGTGGTGGCCCTGCCTCTGGCTGCCCACTGAAGTCACACAGTGGCAGTCTTCAGTGCCATCTCCTCTCTCCCCTGTGGGTGACGCCTGCACCACAGGACTGAGCTGGGCCTACACTGCCTGCTAGTTTGCAGAGCCTGTGTGAGGCCCACCTTCGGTGTCTGAACAGGGACTGTAAACTTGCCTTTTATTTCCCTTACTTACATGCTATATTGGTGAAGGATGCTGAGAAAGAGTTGAGTGGAAAGGTGCACTTAGTTGCCTGAGAGTCAGGGAAGGACCACAACAGATCAAACTGCTCACTTAGGGCTGAGCCAGACCAGCATCACTGCCTTTAAGCCACATGGACTGGCCTTTATATTCAAAGAAGGCCACACCTGGTCTGAAGGAAATTTACGAACAATGGGAGCTCCATGACTTTGTAATAGTGATTTTATTTGCTGTTAAACAGGAAACAGCCCATTCCAGAGGCTCTCAACTCTGGCTACACACTGGAATCACCTGGGAACCTTAAAAAGATACTGATGCTGGTCCCACCCCAGCCCACCCCTCAGAGTTTCTAACTGAACTGAGCTGGGGAAGGGCCTAGGCATCAGGACTTTCAAAGCTCCCCAGGGGCTGCTAGGGTGCAACCCACTGCCTGCAGCCCCAGGTGGCATGCTCCTGGGCACGTTACACAATAACTGCAAAGGATCAGTAGAGTCCCAGCAGGGGGCTGAAGGAATGGGAAGAACTAAATTTAAGCTCTGAACATGTTTACAATGTGATAACTCTTCAGTCTGGCACAAGGCCAGATGCCCTAAAGGTGTCACAGGAATACTTAAGGATTATAAATGACAGGCTAGCCTTTGATATCTGACTTCATGAGTCTTAAAAACTCTGGAAGGAGTAAGTGCCAAGTGGTTTCCTTCAACAGGTTAAGTTTCCAGGATCCCACTGAACATCGATCGAGTAGTTGAGACAGTGCTGGGGCAAAGATGAGCACGGCAAGATCTGATAACTAAGGTGTTTCCCTCTATCGAGAAGGGCCTCAGCTTTCAAGAAGAGTGAAAGCCAGCAGGCCGAGAACACCTCTGACACTGGGGAGGCCTCGGGACCAGAGGAGCTGCTTATTTATTCAGTGGAATCAGTGCCATTTCCAGTAAAGTCATTACAAACTGCTCAGGCCACGATGAAGCCACATGGAGCAGAGGGCAGTCCAGCTACCTTGACTTATCAGAGAGGTGCTGGGAAGCAACAGAGGGTCCCCCGCGCCCAGAGCACAGTGCCCTGAGCTGCGCTTCTGTAGGCTCTGCTCTGCCCTCTGGACTAAAGAGAGGTCCCTCCCGACCAAGAGAGAGGGCACCACAGATGTGTGAAGCCATTCCATGAGGGCAGTAACCAGTCTGTGCTTCAGAAATGGAAGCAGTACTTAGTTCTGATAAGTACTTGGTACTGCTTCCGGCGTGGCCTTGGCATGAGGGGATGGAGGGCATGCAGAGGATCTGTTCTTGAACCTCTTTTTCTGAACTCTTCTTGGCTGACTCAGGTTGCAATCCTGTTTTTAAACACTTATGCCCCCTCATTTCCTTATGTGCTAAAATAGGGAAACTACAAGCCCTGATATTTCCCACGGACAAATCTCAGTTCTGGAATTTCTCTTTCAACACTGATTTCTTGTTTTATTGAACCAGACACTAAGTCCTAACGAGAAGATACAAATGTGAAAAGGCTTCCTTCTTAGGACAGAGAAGCTTCTTAAGCGCAGTCTGGCCCCATGGAGCCTCTTTCCCTTCCCCTTCTGCCACACGTGCCAAGTTCACCTGTGAGTGGTGGCCCTGCCTCTGGCTGCCCACTGAAGTCACACAGTGGCAGTCTTCAGTGCCATCTCCTCTCTCCCCTGTGGGTGACACCTGCACCACAGGACTGAGCTGGGCCTACACTGCCTGCTAGTTTGCAGAGCCTGTGTGAGGCCCACCTTCGGTGTCTGAACAGGGACTGTAAACTTGCCTTTTATTTCCCTTACTTACATGCTATATTGGTGAAGGATGCTGAGAAAGAGTTGAGTGGAAAGGTGCACTTAGTTGCCTGAGAGTCAGGGAAGGACCACAACAGATCAAACTGCTCACTTAGGGCTGAGCCAGACCAGCATCACTGCCTTTAAGCCACATGGACTGGCCTTTATATTCAAAGAAGGCCACACCTGGTCTGAAGGAAATTTACGAACAATGGGAGCTCCATGACTTTGTAATAGTGATTTTATTTGCTGTTAAACAGGAAACAGCCCATTCCAGAGGCTCTCAACTCTGGCTACACACTGGAATCACCTGGGAACCTTAAAAAGATACTGATGCTGGTCCCACCCCAGCCCACCCCTCAGAGTTTCTAACTGAACTGAGCTGGGGAAGGGCCTAGGCATCAGGACTTTCAAAGCTCCCCAGGGGCTGCTAGGGTGCAACCCACTGCCTGCAGCCCCAGGTGGCATGCTCCTGGGCACGTTACACAATAACTGCAAAGGATCAGTAGAGTCCCAGCAGGGGGCTGAAGGAATGGGAAGAACTAAATTTAAGCTCTGAACATGTTTACAATGTGATAACTCTTCAGTCTGGCACAAGGCCAGATGCCCTAAAGGTGTCACAGGAATACTTAAGGATTATAAATGACAGGCTAGCCTTTGATATCTGACTTCATGAGTCTTAAAAACTCTGGAAGGAGTAAGTGCCAAGTGGTTTCCTTCAACAGGTTAAGTTTCCAGGATCCCACTGAACATCGATCGAGTAGTTGAGACAGTGCTGGGGCAAAGATGAGCACGGCAAGATCTGATAACTAAGGTGTTTCCCTCTATCGAGAAGGGCCTCAGCTTTCAAGAAGAGTGAAAGCCAGCAGGCCGAGAACACCTCTGACACTGGGGAGGCCTCGGGACCAGAGGAGCTGCTTATTTATTCAGTGGAATCAGTGCCATTTCCAGTAAAGTCATTACAAACTGCTCAGGCCACGATGAAGCCACATGGAGCAGAGGGCAGTCCAGCTACCTTGACTTATCAGAGAGGTGCTGGGAAGCAACAGAGGGTCCCCCGCGCCCAGAGCACAGTGCCCTGAGCTGCGCTTCTGTAGGCTCTGCTCTGCCCTCTGGACTAAAGAGAGGTCCCTCCCGACCAAGAGAGAGGGCACCACAGATGTGTGAAGCCATTCCATGAGGGCAGTAACCAGTCTGTGCTTCAGAAATGGAAGCAGTACTTAGTTCTGATAAGTACTTGGTACTGCTTCCGGCGTGGCCTTGGCATGAGGGGATGGAGGGCATGCAGAGGATCTGTTCTTGAACCTCTTTTTCTGAACTCTTCTTGGCTGACTCAGGTTGCAATCCTGTTTTTAAACACTTATGCCCCCTCATTTCCTTATGTGCTAAAATAGGGAAACTACAAGCCCTGATATTTCCCACGGACAAATCTCAGTTCTGGAATTTCTCTTTCAACACTGATTTCTTGTTTTATTGAACCAGACACTAAGTCCTAACGAGAAGATACAAATGTGAAAAGGCTTCCTTCTTAGGACAGAGAAGCTATCAAGCAGTCATTTTAAACCTTCATCAGTGTGACTCTTACTACTGGGGGTTCTTATAACTTGTTTGTAACACTGAATTTTCAAGAAGCATCCGCCAACACTACAGCACATCTAATTTCCCTGAACCAGCTGCTGGTGGCTTTTTCCTTTGTGTTCAGCCAGGATCTGCGCTGGTGGCTGCTCACACCCTGCTGGCTGCGGAGCCGGTATCTTACCCATTCCAGGCCGCAGGGGGCTGGTGCTGCTGGACAGTGAGCCACTCCCAGGGGCCGTGGGAGGCTCCTGCCTGGTGGAGGGTCTGGGCCGACCATTCCCCTTCTTGATGACCATGAGGACGTCTCTGTGCAGCTGCGCCTGGTGCAGGACCTTCAGGACATCCCCATGGGCCAAGCCAGCCAAGGAGGCACCATTGACTGACAGAAGGAAATCCCCTCGGCTCACAGTCCCTTCCTGAGAAGCTGCCCCCTGAGAAAACACCCTGTGGACCTGGGACACAGAGAGGACAAAAGCCAGATTCATTGATGACCTCTGGTTGAAGCAAAAGGGCAACTGCAAATCTGTAGGAAGGGAACCTTCTGATGGCAGGTTTTCTAAAGCATGCAAACACATGGCTTATCAAAAACATACTCAGTGTGCGGTTTGGGTCACAAAGGTCAGTGCCAGCATCTGAATACATTTTTACTCAACTTGCTAGTGTCTCATGGGAGCCTGGCATGCCATGGGCAATGAGAATACAGAGATGAACAGGAGCTGGTGTTGTCCAGTAGAAGCGGATTCCCTAATGCTCTCAAAAGCATGTGAGTGATAACAGAATTTTAGGTGGTCATTCTTAAGAAGTAATTTCATAAGCAAATGAAGGTTTGCTTCATTAATTCCAGTATTTTTCTAGTGCTTACACAAATACTTAGGTGAATATGAGGAGACAGCCATGCTTGTATGTATCAGATCTACTAGGTCACTCGGCCTGTATGTCAGCCAGCTGTTTGTTAGAAATGTGTATCTTTGTCAATGAAAATATGTACTGCTTCTCTTGGTTTTCCATTTTTGTTCTGGTAGCAAACACTAGCATTCTTGGACTCTGACATGAATTTTGTCCTGACCAAATTCTGAGGCTGCTTCAGGAATGGCTTTCCCGAGAACATCTTGACATTGTCACTTACCACAACTGATTCTGGCTCCACATCCGTCCCTCCTGCCACACTGAATCCCAGACTTGAGCCTTCTTTTTTATTCAAGACTATGAAGCAAACATCTTTATTCTAGGGAAAAGAACAAGTATGGAATGTGCTGAGAAAAGCACGTTCTGATGTAAGAATTCGATAGCACTGTGCAGCTTCCCCCGACTCAGTGGTCCTTGGGAGCTCTCACACAGAATCAGAACCAGGGGAGCCCTGCCCCATCCATCCTGCGCCCCTCCCGGGGGTGTGTACATGGAGTTTCAAAGGCCCGTCCTGTGACTATAGAACCACAGGGAAGGTGGACATAAACCAGGATGCAGCCGGGGACAGGGCACAGTGTAGAAGCCATTCTAGGCACCAGATAATGTGTTCCTAAATCTGATCATAGCACATAATTTGATCACAAAGGGAATTCTTTATCCCACCATTCATCATGTCTACAATTTACAGCAAAGCAAGTCTCGACAACAGCAGATAAGCCAAGTGCCAAGAGGCAGGACAGAGCACAGTGAGGTTGTGTTTTATGCCTTCCTCCTGTGAAGTTCAGTTAATTGGATTTCAGGTGCAGGGAATGAACTGGGAGTCATAAGATGCACAGTACGTTAAATAATATAAAGGACAGTAAAACTCAACTCACATTTAGGCTAGAACATTCTTAGTAGTGGCCTAGGTTTAAGTAACGAGACTGTCTTATATTTCAAGCATCCATCAAAAGATACTTTAGAATAAAAGATTTTAAAATAAAAAATTAGTTGGGCTCATACTGAATTTTCGCTTCCTTCAGCCATGTTAGGCATGATTCAGCAACATTTGAAAGATCTGCATTGCTAGGTTTCCTGAGAAGTGACTTACAATTCATCAATTCAAGGTGCTCTTAAACACAGCAATAGAAAAGAATCTAATAACCCTTAAGAATTACTTTGACACGAGAAAGTGAGAATTTTTGAAAAAGCAAACCACCTCCATATTGTGCTGGGGAAGGAACCCAATATTTAAAAGAAAGTGTTTAGTCCTCTCAGTAAATCCTGTAGAGTAACTGCCAACATTTTACACTCTCCAAAGAAATTCATCCCAACCAAGGCTTCATATGCTGACATTGGAACATCCTACAGAACTTTTTGGGGTTGGGATTTTTTACTTTATAGGCAAGTCAACCATATATATATGCTCAGACACTGTTCAGGGGAGGGAAGAATGATGTCTAGGCTTTCTCAACAAAAATGGGAATGTGGTCTGGTAAATGATCTTTGTGCAGCTTCTAGGAGATAACGTGTGTTGCTAAAATAGAAATACTCAGATGCTTGTTAGAGCAAAGAGAATATTTGAAAATGGGACTCTCCCTGCATTCCAAGGCATATCAAAATTTTAATTTATGCAAGCTTTTTTTCCCCCCAGTTGTGCTGGGGGATACAAGTGCACTAGAAGCTGAGTGTCAGGACAGATCTTGCCTCTCTTGAGAAGCTTAGCACAGCGTCAGGGAAGCTAGATCTTCCATCAAGAGCTCCCGAGGTCTGGGTGTGATGAAATCAGAAGACCAGGACTTGTTTTCTGTCCCTCCCTAGTCTGCCAGCACCCAAGAAAGCCTCAGGCAATCACTTTGTGCATCCCATTTCAACACCTACAAACCATGCTCTCTGGGAAAAAAGCAAGGTAGGAAACTTCTGGTCTGAAGATGGGAGAGTAGCACCTTTCTGTTTACCGTTCCTTTCTGAAATCAACTGAAGACAGTAAGAAAATAAAGGAAAAGAAAACTGCTTTCTGATGAGAGTAGGAGTGATCTTCACTACCAAACCATAGTACTAGCGGCAGACATGGAACCAGAGGGGGAGGGGGGGAGGCCCCAGAAGGCGCCTCTGGGCAGCACCCAGCACCCAGTCCATACAAAAAGGCCCCATTTTGTGGTCCCTGAAAATGTGCATCTCATTTGTGAGGCTGGTTTTGGTTTTCTCCTTTATGTTTTACCTGACACTAAAACAGCTGGAGGAAAGGGGACTGGCAAACCGGGATCCCACTATCCCACCTAACTGTAACAAGTGGAAGGAGGGAGAAGGGTGGCAGAAGGTGGAAAATGGTGGTGTTCCTGAACCACGGAGACCTGACCCAGTGCCTGAGCAGGAATGGAAGCTGAAGGGACTGATCTCCATCTCACCCATCTCCTCTCTGTCCCAGCACGCTCACTCCTTACTAGATGCCAACACCATAACCCTTCGGGGTTATGCTAGAATTTCTGGAACAGTGTTCTCGGATGATGTCAGTGACCCAGGTACCTTACCACCCAAGGACAGTGGTTTCTATTTACTTTTTATTGTTAACAGAAAATACTCCTTTTATTAAGGCTCAAATCTCTATGGAGAGTCCTGAGAAATTAATGATATTCTTCAGAGAAGTATTCTAGACATGAGCTCATGGTTCCTTTTGTTACTGTCTGTTGAAAAACCGTATTTGTAATGACTACGTAGATGTTTTGCCTCAAGCCCCAGGCTTCAGAACCTCTTCTTACTCCTGTGGGACCACGCACACACTACCTCTCACTTCTTCAGCATGCGGCACCCTGAACAAGCAGCTCATGTCCAGGTGAACAGAGGGACTTGTGGTCATTCCCCAACATTTCTGAGAGGCCTTGTTATGTTCTGAGGACCCTCTGCAGACACACTCCAAAGGCAGGGCATGGGGGGGAGGGTAACCATTTGCTCCTGGAGAAATAAAACAGCAGCTGCCCCAATCTGGAACCTAAAAATTCAGGACAAGGTCTGGCTTCTGAAGCTACAAGCAGGGCAGAAGTCCGACTGAGCTGTGGCACTCCTGGCCCGGGCCTGGAGAGGGGCTCTCGGGGCGCCCGAGCTCGGGGACAGGCCTGCGCACAGCCGTGGTGGCGGTCTCACCTGCCTGGGCTTCCTGTGTGTCGCTCACCTCTGATTGTGCTTTCGCTTCCTGAATGAGGGTCAGGACGGCAGACTTTGACCCCACTGATGATAATACAGACTGCAATCTCTGCTGCTCCCCCGCTGAGACCAGAAGTTGATCCAGACTAAATAATGGAAATACATTGGAAAAACAGTAAAGAAAGAAACAATTATTCCATTTTGTAAGGATGCATTTAAAACGATCTCTTTTCTACCGCACTGCAGGGCTTTTCTGATTATCCTGTTCTCCTTTGGTCCTAACTCCCATCCCAAACTTACTGAAGAATCCCAAACACTGAACAGGAGTTCCACACACCACCAATGGTGGTGGGAATCACTATGGATTCTGGGATCCCCTCAAGAGGTTGGGGGACCAATGCCGGAATTCAACAGAAAATTTCTGACATATTAAAAAATATTCTATAGGCTCAAGTGAAAGTTCAAAATATGTTAGAAATCTGTTAAACTGCAGTCACCTTTTAAGGCCCAGAGTCCCTCCTGAGGTGCAGCGCCCCCCTGGCTGCCCATCTCTCACCACGCATTTGCTGAAGTGCCACGTCTATAGAAGAGGCTCCTCAGGGCAGTGTTTTAGGAAACGCTAGTAATTATATTAAAAACAAAGGGGGTGAAATGTAATATGGTTTCCTGGATTGGATCTTGGAACAGAAAAGGATGGTAGTGGAATTCATTCAGTGAAATCTGGATAAAGTCTGCAGTTCAGTTAATTGTGTTGTTCCGATGTTCATTTCTTACTTTTAACAAATGGACCCGTTACTTAAGATGTTAATGTTAGGAGGAGCTGGGTAGAGGATACATGGGACTTCTATTCGGTGTCTTTGCAATTTTTTTGTGAATCTAAAACTAGTCCATAGTCAAAAGAATAAAGTTGACTTAAATATAAGGGGAGGGGCAGATACCTACTTAATTGACCAGCTTTTTCCCGAAGGCAGGTCCTGGGTGGTTTCACCCACATCGTGGGCTGGACTGGGTGTCCCAGGCACTCCGGCCTTAGGGCTGCTTCCTCCTGGGCAGGCCCTGCTCCCATTGAGGCCTCCAGCAGGGGAGCCCAGCGACCTCCTGGGGACGATTTCCAGCTCGGTTTTGAAGAGCACGGCAGTCGGCCCGGCCGAGAAGTCCTCTCTGCAGAGCTTGTCAAGGTCGGGCATGCTCAGGGCCCTCAGTTCCTGCAGCTTGGAGCGGGACAAAGGCGACGGCTGGGTGTGGCGCACGGAGGACCGGTTCCTCCTGGCGGGAGAGGCCGGGGTCACTGTCGGGCTGGGAGTGCCCGCAGGGCCAGGCGGTGGCCCCGGGGCTGAACCGCAGCCTCTGCTCCCTGCCTCCGCCGCACTCTGCCGGGAGGCCGCCAGCGCCGTGCTGGACGGGGACTGGGTCATGGGCGGGGCGAGGGCGCTGGCCTCACTCTGGCTTTCGCTGCAGGAGCTCAGGCTGCGTCTCAGGGCTCGTGCCGTCGCGTCGCCAGCCTGGCTGCAGCTCCCAGAAGCGGTGCTGCCCGACGAGCGTCTCCCAACGGGGGGCTTGGAGCTCACTGACAGGAAGGCGGGAGCCCCGGCCCTGGCTGCCGGCCGGTCGGAATTGGCCAGGTTCTCGAAGGACTTGATCCTCTGCTTCACAGAGAAAAATGAGGTAGATTCATGGGGCCAGTGCTGCTCAGAGTAGTAATGTCTTCTGGTGACCCTGATTTTGTCTGCAACTGGGCAGCTCGTTTCTGGTGCTGAAAGGACAGCCCCATCGTCTGCCGTTGGAAGGTTCCTCGGGGTCTCCAGCAGGGGCTTTACACTATATACGCCCTGCCCGTTGGCCAGGCCAAGGACGCCGCCTCTGGAAGCTTTGGCCTCAGAGAGGCCACCGCTTGTCGTGGGCACCTGGCAGTCTCGGTAGGAGTGACTTGGGCTGTGCAGGGCATGCCCCTCCCGTCCAAAGTGGCTCGAGAACTGGGTTGGCATGGAGTAGGTGCGGGTCGCCGGCCTGGGCATGAAGTAGGGATGGTCATCCAGGGCTGGGCCCGCGGGTGTGCCGTTTTGGGGCATCTCTAGGGAGTCAGACATCTGGCTCAACTTTCCCTGGTTGGCATCTAACTTTTTAGTAGGCAGTTGCGGGGACGAGCAGGAGGAAGCCAGTTTTGCCACTTTGAAAGATCGTTGCGTTTCCTGCTCCACCTGGCAGGCATGAGATGGGAGTGACAAGGGATGATTTGGGGACAATTCCACTGCCTGGTGACAGAGTCTGATTTCACTGTTCTCCTGACAGTTGCTCTGGGCCAAGAACTCTCCTCGCCTGTCATTTTCAGCTGGCTTGTCACCGCATGCATTGCTTGGCATTCTTTCAGAAGAAATCTCAACAATTTTCAGCTGGTTTGCTCCTTCTAGGGGGCCACTGGTAGTTGAATTGTTTCCTGTGCCTCCAGTCCCCCGAGCTTGGGCTGCCTCTGGTGCTGAATCTGCTTGGCCACACACAAGCCACTCATTGTGCCCGGGAGGTGGGATCTCCTGCTCGGTTGGGGCAGTGGATGTGCTGTTCCTGGGCACCAGTGGACTCACCCCTGAGGTGGCGGGGGGAGCCCTGTGCTCCAGTCCACACTTAGGAGATCTGGGGGCGGCTGGGAAACCCCTGTCGGGCTCCGAGTGGAAAGCCATGTGGAACCTGCTGCAAGAACCTTGCTCAGGAAGAGCGTTGGGGGAGGTCAGGGGTGAAGTGAATGTTCTGATGCTTGTGTCTGATACTGAGGCCTTCAGTGATCCTGAGGCTGCGGGGGGCAGCTTACTGTCCAGTCCACACTGGGGAGATGCGGGGGTGGCTGTGGCATTCTGGTCTGGTTCCTCATGGGCCGTGTGGACGCGGTGTGACTCTACCTTAGAAAGCACTTTGTGGGAGGCCTGGGGTGAAATGAGGGATCTCCTGTGGTCGACCCCCCCAGGCTTAGCCACGTTAGCAGCAGGGGCCTCGGAACTGACTTTGCTTCTGCTTTTGATGTTCAGTCTCTTCAGCTTGGGACCAGATTTGGGTTTCTGACAGTTACTTAAAAGTGTCTCCACAGAGCTCTTTTTAGGCGGGTCTTGATTTTCCAGATTCAGTTTCAGCTGAGGAGGGCTGGAGGGCACGGTGCCCTTTCTGTGGCTGGAGCTCAACACCTGACTTTTGGAGTCAGGACTTCTGGCTGGCATCATGGATTGATCCTTTTCAGTTTTGTTCTGGGAATGTGTACCTTGGGTATTTTTATTTATTTCTTTAAGCCAGGCCATGATTGGCCTCCGGGGGGTCATTTTTGGTTTCTGTAGCATGCCCTCCAGGTCTTGACTTTCGGAGATGTGTAGATTTGCCAAAACAGATTCTCCATCCTTAGGGAGATCCTCACTAAAGGTGGATGGATTTTCAGTTGCATTAACATTTGTTTCTTGTCTTTTATTTGGGGCTTTGCCACCTGGCGAGTCATGCTGCAAACCATTTACCATGTTTGGGCTGCTGAGAATGACTGGAAGGCTGTAAAAATGCCTGGTAGCTTTGGGAAGCTGGCTGTTTTCTGTAGCCGAGCTGGCCCCGGGGGCTCCTGTGGTTTCTTCCTCACTTGTGGGCCTGGGGTTTTGCGAAATCCTCGTGTCCATGTGAGGTTCATGCTCCTGAGAACCTTGATCCGAGAGAGAAAATGGCTGGGAAGAGTCTGGGATTGAAGAGTACGAGGCTCCTGGCAAGAAGAACGTGCCCTCCTGTGGATTTCCCGCCACTGGACCTGGAGTGCTGTGCTTTAATGGCAGGACTTTGGCTAAAGCAGGGTGGGGTACAGCCTGCGCAGGTGCCTGGGAAGCCAGGCCGGGTACCCTGGGGGGGCCATTTGTGGAACACATTTCGATTTGCTCCTCCTCAGACTCCGTGGTATCATCCCTGTGAGATGACCCAGGAGGACGAGGAGGTGACCAGTTGTCCCTGGTGCAAGCTTGTGGGGCTTCCATGAGTGACTCGGGGTCAGACGAGTCCTCGGCATCACCATACATGGATGGGAGAGGCGGCTCCGTATTGCCATCCGGGCCCGGCAGGGTCATACTGTCTTCGTGAAAGTTGCTAAAATTCCTAGAGTAGTTGCTCAAAAAGTTTTTGTTCACAGTAAAATGCTTGTCAGGATTAATCGAATCCAAAACTGAAGGCTGGGAGGCCCACTGTGGGTGAGGGGGTTGGCCAGCAGCCCAGGCCCTCCTCGGGGTGTGGGTCTGGCTCCCCAGTGCTGGCTCAGCATGGCGGGAACTTCCACCTCCAGCTCCTGCAGGAGGCTGACCCTGAGCACCGCCCTCTGGGCGCACCCAGTCCCCTTCTGAAGGGGACTGAAGTCTTGCTTCAGACGCATCCAAGTCCTTGATGAGCCTGTCGATATCAGTCACGGGGCTCACTGCACTGTCCTGGGGGTGGCAGTGCCCAGGGACACCGTCGCACACCTTTTGGGTCTTGTCAGCGGGCACTGGCAGGGGGCGGCTGGCCTGAGGTGCCCTCTCAGACACAGAGGGTCTCCCCGCGAGCAGAGGGGACTCCCAGGAGTCCTCAGGTGCGAGGATTCCTGTCGTCTGCTCAGCCTTGCTGTGTTTACCTGCGTCTCTGCGTCTCTCCACCTGGGGCATGAGGTGGTCTCGTGACAGGATGGCACCAGCTGTAGGTGCTCCCTCTTCCTCGGGGGCCACTCTGCTGTGTGATGCCTTCCTGGTGCTGCCGGGTGAGCTGGCTTCTGGGGCTGCCGGAGTGCTGCTGAAGTCAGGACGAGCTGCGGCCGCCTTCCCCAGGGATGTGCTGCACTCCTGGGTGAGGCAGACTTGAGATCTGTCCTCAGACTCAGGGACCCAGGGTGACGCTGGCTTTCTGAGGTCCTCTGGCCATCTCACTTGCCCCGAGTCCACTGAGGTCTTGCTGGGCTCAGGGTCAGCTGCCCCCATCTGCCCCGGGGAAGGGATGAGGTCTGGGGAGCTGTCCGGTCCTGCGTTGAGAATATTACAAAAGGTGAAATGGAAGGGCAGATACAGGGGAAAATATGTGAAAATATAAAACCTCTCAATTTAAATAAAATGGAAAATAGTAAACAATCTCAATTTTTATTCTCTTTTTCAGAAAGACATTCCACAGCCTAAATGCAGGCCTTATTGTCATTCTGCTTTTGTCTCTAACATTACAGAGCGCTCTCATTTAACTAACACTACCCTGCTTTAGAGGCTCTAAAATAACTCAGACTGGCTGGCAGAATGAACCTTCGTTTTGCCATTTTTTTCTCTCTCTCAGTTATTTTTAAGGGTGGGGGACACCAGAAACCCTTCACCTGGGTTTCCTTACACCATCCACTCTCCAGTGGCAGAAGGCAGCGGAGCCAGGCTGCCATCCTGCTTCCTGGGCTCCGTGCTGATTCTGCAGAGGTCCCAGCATCTGGCTGATCACAGCTGGGTGTAGCTCTCATCCACGGGGGGGTTTAGCCTCATGGTGAGGACTGTGAACCATATAGAAAAGCATAAAATAGTCCAAGCACCAAACTTTAGGGACTTTTTGCTTAGTGTAGGAGGTGAGGCTAATTTGGGGAAGCCCACACAATGCTACAGACAGGCTGCAAGTTCACACTGAGCTTCAGTCATGTCTTGACCAAGTTTAGAGGAGCAGGAGCACCAGAAGGCCAGGTCACCCTGGGGGAGCTCGGATAGAGGGGTGGGGGCTTGAGTGGAGGTCTGGGGGTAGCTGGACCAGAGAGTGATGGTAGGAAGGTGAGGAAGAAAGTGGAGTGAAAGCAAAGAAGAAACAGCATGAAGTCCAAGAGGTGCAGGGACAGGTGACATGCTAGGAGGTCATGGGAAATGATGTTTTCCTATGAGATGGTTCCATCCTGGAGGTGCCTTCTCAAAATTAAGCCCTGCATATGCCTCGACTAACAGTGGTCGGGGAGGGCGTGGGGGGTACTGCCTGAAAAAGAACCTTAGATTCCCCGTTTTCTTAGGAACTATGGGTCTGAGTTGGAGAAACTCAGTCACAGTGACAGCTCTTGCTCTGAGATGTGTGTCTGTGTTACATTTGCTCCACATCTCCCACACAAATCATCTTTGCTGTGTATGCCTTCTCTCCCCTGAGGTGCCTATGTCAATAGTTAAGAACTAAATATTAGGACTGAGCACTGTGCTCGGAGTTTTTCAGGTGGGTCCTGTGAAACCTTGCTGGGATGGTAGGGGCCCAGAGTGGCTAAGCAGTGGGTCCAGGCTAACAGAGCTCATAGCTAGGGTTGCCTCAGAAAGCTGGCCCCATGGCCCACACTGCTACGTAACTCCTGACTCTGTGGCCTCTGTGTAGACAGCACCGGGCAACAAGAGGCTGGCTCATCGGGACACCTGTGGGCCCCGGTGGAAGGCTGAGGCGTGCCAGATCCAAACCCACGGGCTCCTGTCCTCTGCTCGACCTTCCTGAACTCTTGCCAGCAGGCCTTCCCTGCTTCTGCTGGTACTGGCAATGGGAAAAGGGGCCCTGAGACACAAGAAGGAATTTAAAGGCTGTTTTTCAGGTTCAGGCTCACTTGCTGAAGAAGCCCTACATTTTTGTTAGCAATTTGACTTCATTGCAAAGTATGTAACCTGAAAGGGTTTTATATCAGGGAGGTAAAATGACACAGAGGCAGTCCTTGATGTCACCTATCAAACTAATCCTTCTCTTATGTCAGCTTGTATCCCCTGAGTTATTTCTTGAAAAGGAGCTGTCTTGAAAAGTCACTGGACTTGCAATAGACTAAATTTGTATGTGTTAAATTAAAAAGAAAAAATCCTTCTCTTAGAACCCCCCCAAATGCCCAATGATGAGAAGAAGTTGACTCAGTCAACTCCTCTTCATGGCAGGGAAGGCCCAGCAGCCTTTACAAATGATGCCGTGGGTGCAGGACACGGTGACAGAGCAGGTGACAGGTGAGCTGAGACAGGAGGGCTTAGGACTGCCTGCCAGGGCCAGTGCCCATCAAGTTGGCCTAGGAGAATCTTGTTGACCTCAGCAGGCTACTCAAATATTTTCTGTGGAGGTGTGGGGTAAAAAGCATTAATTGTTTACTTTTTCCCTGTGGAGGTCGTCCTGCCATTTCTCAGTGCATTTGATTTCACATGAGCAGAGTGCTGAGGTTCTGGAGGACTGGAAATCTTCTGTTTCATTTCATGTCTCATTCACTAGGATTCATGTCACAAAATGGGTAGAGTGTTGATGGACTGCCAATGGGCATACTCTACATGGTGTGTAGATTTAGTAAACTCTTTAAATGCAGGCAGCTTTATGTATCAGTAATCTGAGTAAAAATTTTTTTCCCTTTGAAATTCTCCAAATGTAATATTTTTATGGGGGTAACTTCTACCCTCCCATCTTGAAGCATAACAAGTGATAAACTCATCTTACCTGTCCGCTCTGGTGCAGCTCCAGGCAGGTTCTCTGCGGGGTGGGGCAGAACACTGGCTCGCAGGCATTTGGGAGGAACACACTCATCCTGGATGGCCAGCTTTCCCAGAGATTCCTGGCACAATGACAGCTGCAAGTCACTGCCAATAGCTTTCAGGTTTTCTGCATCCTAACACATCATCTACAGAGGAGACCCTGGACTTTAAGCCACAAGATCCAGATTCTGGGCTAAAGTCCACTAAACTGCATGGTGGTGTCACTCTTCCTAAGCCTCACTTTTCTTGACTTTAAAATATGGGTGATCAGGGAAATGCAAATCAAAACCACAATGAGATGCTATCTCACAGCCATTAGGATGGCTGAGATTAAAAAACAGAAACAAGAAGAACAAAAACAGAAACAAGGGTTGGAGGGGATGTGGAGAAACTGGAACCCTGTACACTGTTGGTGGGAATGTAAAATGGCGCTGTCACTGTGCAAAACAGTATGGACGCTTGAAAAAGTAAAAGTACAACTACCATGTATTCAGCAATCCCGGTTCTGAGTATATACCCCAAAGATTGAAAGCAGGGTCTCAAAGAGAGATTTGTACACCCATGTTCATAGCACTTATTCACAACAGCTAAAATGTGGAAGTAACCCAAGCGTTCATTAACAGATGAATAAACAAAATGTGTATATACACACAATGGAATATTATTCAGCCTTAAAAAGGAAGGAAATTCTGAGCTATGCCGCAACAAGGATGAGCTTTGAGGACATTATGCCAAGTGAAATAAGTGAGTCACAAAAAGGCAACACTGTATGACTCCACTTACACGAAGTACACAGGGCAGTCAAAATCATAGAGCGGAAAGTAGAGTGGTGGGGGGGCTGGTGGAGGGGGTGATGGGGAGGCATTGCTTAATGGGTACAGGGTTTACATTTTACTGAATGAAGAGTTCTGGAGATGGACGGCGGTGATGGTTGCACCATGTGATGAATGTATTAATACCACTGAACTGTACACTGAGAAATGGTTAAGATGGTAAAATTTATGTTATGTGTATTTTAGCACAATAAAGTGTAATTGGAAAAGAAATGGGGATCATAAGACTTGCCCGTTACAGCTCATAGAGTTTTAAACAAAATATGATTGAGATAAGTAATAAAACTATGCAGCATACAAGACGCTGTGCAGATATAAGGTGCAGTTGTCACTATACTGCGTAGATATCCAAGACTGTGAGATCAGCTCCTCAGTGTGGTGGTTAGGGAGAGGGTTAAGCTGGGTACGCAAAACTGACATTTAATATTTCAGAATTTAATAATTTAATAATTCATTTAATATTTAATAATTTAATAATTCATCCAAGTGTCAATTACTTTATCTTCCTTTCTTCTATCTCATATCTACTGTAAATAAAAATTAGAAACAAATATAAAAGGTTAAACCAGATTTACTTGAAGTTTACTCTCTGAGTGAAGGAGCCATGAAGTGGCCCAAAGGTGGCAGCAGAGGAAAGAGGTGAAATGCTTGAGTGCCTTTCAACTACGCTGGTAAAAAAAAAAAAATCATTTAGTAAACTGTCAACTATCTGTTGAGGCAAATGTATCTAGGGTTCAACTCAGTTAATTTTTTATTTACTAGTAAAGCAGAAATGTAATATAAAACCAGTAGAAGAGATTTGGAACTAGATAGAGGACATGGTTGTACAGCATGGTGAGTACACTGTTGCTTAATCATATACTTTAAAATGTTTAATTTTATGTTACATGAATTTCATCTCAATTTTAAAAAGTATTAAATAAAAGCAGTATAAGACAATCCACTTACCAAAAGTTTTTTTTTTTTTTAAGCTACTGATATTTGAGGGTGAATACTTTCTGGTAATGCGTTCTCTTTCTCATGTATCAATAAAATCAAATTTTGGAACTAAAACTTTTATGAGAAAAATTAAACCTTTGTATGAAACTTTTTAGTGCTACTCAAAGTTCTTATTGGGAATACTAAATCATAATTACAAAAACTATTATTTTAATGGATACAAATTATTGTGAATAAAAACCTTAATTTGCCTTTATACAGTTACCTAAAACTTGATGATATATTTTAAAAGGAGTTCTCCCATTAGCTGAACATTACATTTTACAACACACGTGCTAATTGGAGGTAATAACAGTTTTTTAGGAGGAGGAAAAAAGATGTGCATTTCTACTTTTTCTGTAAGGTTAACAAAAACCCCTTCTGCCTAGCATAGTTTTTATGACTTTATATTTTCTGGGTCTATTTACATATATGTTTATATAAACCACTTAAACATACATCTTTATAAATATGGCTTACAAGTTATCTCAGATTCTTCATTTAGAGAGAAATTATTTATGTTGAGATCATAAACAATGTTAATTTCTCTTGTTTTCTTCTTGCTAAAGTGGAGGTATACTGAAATGTAAAAAACGAGCAATTTGATAATTCTGGGCCATTCTAACATATATACAACCAAGTAGTAATGTAAATAATATTAACTTGCATTTAATGTGGTGCATTGTAAGTTTCTAAATGAACACATGCCCATTATTTCATGTGATACTCTAGGGTCTGAGTAGCTTTAATTACACATTATCACTGCAGAAAGTTTGAAAACCTAAGGATCACTCAGAATCTTATCAGCTAAAGATAATCACTGTTAACCTATGCTTGATGGCCACTCCAGCTCTGTGAGGTGATCAGGCAGATAGCACCACCCTTAGTTTAATGTCCAGACAACTGCAGCTCCAGAAATTTCAATAACCTGCTCTTGGGGTCACCCCACTGGTCAGTGAGAAGCTGGTGCTGGGCCCAGCATCTACCTTTACTCGCATCATGCTGCCCGTCCATCAGCCACGGGCCTGTGTGTGGCCGAGAGGTCATTGTCTCTTTTGGCCAAATGACCTATGACACCATACCTGGGCACTTTCCCCACCAGCCTGCTGATACACTAACAGGCTCCTCAGCGACTGTGTGTGTGCTGAAATGAATGACTATTGAGAGCCACTTCTCTAATCTTTACCCTCCCTTAAAGGCAGATTTCCCTGTGCTTGATAAGATGCTCCACATTCTCTCAGATCCCAAGTGACTAAGAGAAAATCAGTTACCTTCTCTGAGGTTCCACCCGGCCGAAAACCAGTCACGGTCACTCGGATGCAAGTGTTCTGCACTTTCAAGTCAAGGCCGCAGCGGCCGTCAGCCCCATCAGTCAGGTTTACTGTTTCTGAGCCACTGGGCCTGGCCTCAGCCTCTGGCCTCTTGCAGTGCGGGCTGACCCTGGCCACTGGTTTGTGCCTGACCCCCAGCTTGTCTTCCTTCTGCTGGGGGGAGCTTGGGCTCTCCGTGCTCATCAGCCTCTGGGTGCCTGTGTCAGCCTCATATTCCAGTTTGGGTGAACTCCCGGATCCTGACAGCCCCCTCCTTCCCAAACAGTCTGGCCCACCTCTGGGGGCCTCTGCACAGGCCAGCAGGCTGGCTGCATGGGAAGAAGTGACCCTCAGGCCCCCTGGGACACTCTCCTCTAAGTCCAATGGGCTGCCAAAGAGAGGCACTGAGGAGGCCTTGCTGACCAGTGTTTTCTGGGGCTGTTCCTCTTGGTCGTCTCGCCCCATGACCTTGGGAGAGGTCGTCAAGACATGCCTAGAGTCGTCCTCCATCAGAGGCCTGCTGGGACCTGGGAGGCTCCCAGGCAGGGAGAGGCAGTTGCCTTCGCCATCAAACTCTCCCTCGTCGCTGGCATCCTCAGCATCATAGCGGCCCACCCTCCTCTGGCGAAGGAGAGGGTTTCGGGGCACCTGAGGGCTCCCAGGGAGACTGGCTTGTCTGGCAACTGTCACCTGCTTGTGGAAGAGCCCAGAGGCCCGCTGGCTTCCTAAAGACACCAGGCTGTTGGCCCTTGCTTTTCCTGGTTCCTTGGGAGCTGGTGGAGGTGGGGAAAGAGAAGTCAAATGAAATCAGGTTTCCTGCCTGGCCTGGTCTTATAATTTAACCCCCTTCATTACACACAAGTGATTCCATATGCACAATTGCCAGATACACACCCTCTGGATACTGGACACCATGCATAAATGATATGGCTTCTTGGGATATGCACAGAGCAGCCAGCCAGCTTCCCTTACTCCTTTTCCTACTGGCCTTCCTCTCCCCCCTTTTTTTAAAACTTATTTGCTTATTAATTATTTCAATCTCTGGATGGTTTACCTTAAACATGTGTATTGCCTAGAGACTCGCCAATATCCACGATGTCTAAGACATCACTGGAGTTCAAGCTAGATGCTGATGCTGAAAATGCCTTTTTAGGAGGATTCCTGGGACCAAGTCCTGCCCACCTGGGCCTTCTCACTGCCCGAGGTCCTTCCTTCATCTGCAAAAGGATGCTGGTTTGATAAATAGGCACACAAGCTGCTAGAGTGTGGTACAGAGAAGCCTGAGATCATGGTGTAAGTTCCAACCAGGAGGAACATTTATATCTTGCTAAAGGTATGACACTTGACTAAGCCCATTAACTCAGAGATCTCATCTCATCGCCAAATGAGAGCCAGAGTGGCCATCTCTGCCTCTCCTAAGACAGGGGGATTTTCTTGTTCAGACACCAGAAATAAACATAAGGAAACCACACTAACAGAAGCACGAGACATCAGTACACTGCATATCAGATCATTATCTCATATTATATTGAGAAGATAATCAATGAGATTAAAAATAAAACTGTTTGATAACATCTGTCTCAAGAGTCCTGAATTTTTCACTTATTGCCTTCTAAAGAGAATTAAGTTAGGGCCTAGTGAAGGAAGAGACCTGGAATTTGGCTTAGATTCCCCTAACCCCTAAACCAGAAGCTATCAGGTCGCTAGCTCTGATCTGATGCCATACATTTCAATACCATGCTATGCAAATTGCATCTAAAGGTGTCCGGTTTAGCCACCTTCAAAGCACTGGGTGTAGGATGTGCACCTGCCATTTACCACAGAACCAAGTGGCCAGTCATTAACAATGGGCTGCATTTTCCAGGAGTCAACTCTCCATTTAGTCAGTTCAGGCTTTTCCACTCAACCAGAGGCATGGTTTCCAGTTCCCCTTTCACGTTGTAACACCGCGACACAGAAACCAATGGGACCAGAAGCAGAAAATCGCTATTGCTCACTGGAGGTGGTGGGTGGCAGGCAGCCATCCTCGGAGGGGCTGCAGCCGCTCCCCGTGTGGTCCTCGTCCTCAGAGCCGGCCACCACGAAGTCTGACAAGGCGCCTGGGACATCTTGGACAAAGTACTGGGAGAGCTCAGATTCGGAAATCAGGGAGTCCTGCTGAAGAAGAGTGACGGGTAGTGAGGAAGCCGCACCAGAATCAGATTATTGTAAACTAATAACTTCCTATCTGTTCAAGCACACTTTGTCCTAATCCACAGTCATTTGAAGCAGCTGTGATAGTAAACACCCACTTACATTTTTCCATTACTATAGAATGGCTAAATTACACAATGAATAAAAAGGTGATAAATGCTGTCAGACAATATTTTGAAGTATTTTTTTTTTCTTGCCAAATGTTTAGACATGATGAGGAAAGTCACAGCAGCAATGTATCAAGTGTCCCAGGAAAAACACTGGGAAAAGAGATAGCAAAAACAGAATGAAATTCCAAGCCACCGGTTCAGCCTACCGATGAACAAAAAACAGGGGAGCTTAAATCTTGCACTGAGATGCACTGGGATGCACTGGGGTTTAGGAACAGCCAGCTGAGAAAGGCTCCAGTCTCCCTAAAGTCGTAGGTCCCCTCAAAATTTACAGAGGCCTCTTTATTATGGAGCCATTTGAAAACTGTTTTTCAAACTGCATCTCAGTTTTTCTATTTTGTTGCCCTATCCTTTTCCTAGATGAATATCTAATAAAAGAAACACAGATGTGCATAATTGTTTCCAAATTAGCATTGTTGCCATTTCCTGTGTAAAGTGGCCAAAATAACTCATGGACAGAAAACTGGGTTAGGACCTTCGGCCTGACTTACAGGCGCCAGGAATTGATTTGTGGGTCAGCCGATAAAGGTGGTAGTGAGACTTGACTCACCTTTTTTGCAAGAGAGGGACTCCTCGAGGGGATGCCTGTAGGGGGGAAAAATCGCCATATTGTCAAAACAACGAAGCTCACATCCTTACAAACAGGCTCACATCCCTAACTAGAAAAGATGGAGCCAAACAGATTAAACAAGACTCTCTTTGCTGGACTGGCACTGATGGCCCACGTGCATGGAGTCTACCTGGGTACTTGATCCCCTCCCCATCCCACCTCCCGAGATTCAGTTCATGCTTTGAGCTCTAACTCAGATGCTACCATCTCCATGATAATCCCCGTTGGGAGTAACTTCCTCTTCTGAATTTCAAAAGAATTTTATACTAATAGCTTTCCATCCACCAGTTTCCATACACACAGTTTTCTTGTAAGTGTATGCATCGCATCTCCCTTCCTCAACTACTTAACTACAGGGCTGAGACCTTCACTGATCTGACCACACAGTGCTCAGCATTGCACTGCATCTGGGAAGTGTTCATGGATTATTTGTTGGATGGACTGAAAGATGAATGAACAAAGGAACACCACTCAAGAAGCTCATAAAGGAACTGGGGAGAGAGTTGAAATATCTCTTTTAGTTTTTAGTTGAAGGATGAAAAGACAGCACTGAGGCTTTAAATTATATGCCATGAGCAAAAAGATCCTGGGCATGTGGATCATGGCTTAATAAAATCTTTCATAAATGATCAAGTGGATATGTTGGGATGATGAGAGGACAGCTTTCAGGCAGGTCAGGAGAATGAGCTGCTTGAATAAAGAGCACATTATGGTTGTGCCCACTTTAAATATATTAATTACGGATGCAAATAACCAGGGCATTTCATGCTTGTCAAAATATTCTATGCCTTCCTTTTCCTCTGACAACCAGTAACTTATGTCTCAGTTCCTTTTCCTCCCAACATCAATCTTAACATCAGCAATGTCTTGAGTTTAGCCATGTTTGCACAGTCCTTTCAACAGGAAACATTAGTCTTAAACTTTGATACAGTGTTTCATGTTTTGAATTGATATGAAATTCTTACTGTCTCAATCCTCTGCCTGAAAGTTTCCACTTGAGAAGGGGGAGATCATGAGTTTTGCAGCCTAAGTTATCCTTCTTAGGTTGAAACTTTTAATTCATGTAAATAAATCCCAGGTTTTTTGGACAGATAATATTCTGCATCTCTTCAACAACTGATATTTTGGTGTCACTTCATTTTCATCAGGAACATTTCAGATGCATTGTACATAAACACATGAAATACTGCTACCTCATTTTTGCAAATTAAAGTAGCATAAGAAGTATACATGATTAGAACTTTAATAGAGCCCATTAAATAACTGCAGGAGTCAAAAGTAGCAGCCAAGAGAAAGCATAGATTCTCTTTGACAGCTACTTCTGCCAAACCTGAGAATTACAAAGAATTCAATAATATTGCACAGTGGAGTGCCCCAGGGAGAACTTAATGAAAAACTCTTCTGAATGTTGAATGAAAATGTGCAATTACAGTACCTAAGCCAGGGGAGGAATTGGCCTCTTTGCTCTCCTGGTAAGTGCTGTGTGCTATCACTGCATCCATTTCCTGCTCGGAAACCTGATTTTCAGCAGAAAGTACAAATTAGATGGTTTTATTTATTTATTTTTCCCCAATAAAAGCAGCTAGGACCAGAATCAGGGCTGAGTACAGATAAAAAGGAAAACCACAGGGCAAAAGATTATGACTATCCTCTGAAGCAAAAACTCAGGGCAAATAAGACATACAGCTAGGTAAGCCGATTGCTTCAAACAATGTGTTCAAAACAAGACCTTCAGTTGGTTCCCAAGTTTGTTAAGCAGAGCATTCAGATGCTATGGTTACCCACAACATGCTGACATCGTCTTTTTCTAGAATAGAATACTCCCTTTGAATTCTTTTTTCCTAACCTTTATTTAAAAAATTTCGAACTTACATAAAACTTGCAAGAGTAACAAGAATAATATACTCTTCCTCTAGATTCACTATTTTTTAACATTTTGCCATATTTACACTCATGCTCTGTCTTTACACACACACACACACACACACACACACACACTGCTATAACTTTGTACTGACCATTTGGGAGTTGGTTGCAGAGATTATGACAAATCAGGGAATTTAATGTTGCTACAGATGACTCTCTAACATACATTCCACATTCCAATTTAGCCAACCGTCCTAATGCTGTCCTTCAGAAACGCTCCTCAGAGAGTGTCTGTAGACTGGAAATAGTTGACGGAACTAATGCCAGCCTGCAATGAAGGAAGAATTTTCCCCGAGAGTGCAACTCAGCACTCAGCTTCTTTCATCCTCATCTTGCTAGGAAAAAAATGTCACCTAAGCAAAATGGTGCACATAGCGATGCAACTGATTTACATTCTGATCTAAGCCCTTTATTTTGTGGACATTTAGTGGACTGTCACCGGCCAACCTCTTTGCACAGTATTGCTTTATAGAATTTTGTTTTCTGGCAATCCAGAATTCAGTTCATGATCTTGGCATATCTCTTTGTCTCCTTTCAGAGCCTTTCTTTATCTTTCATGATACTGATATTTCAGAAGGAACGAGCCAGTCCAAATCCTGTTTGTCTGAGGGTTTCTTCATGCTTAGGTATGGATTATGCATTTGGCAGAAAAACTACAAAAAACTGTTTCCTTCTCAGTGCATCACAGAGGCACTCAGGGTCATTGTGTTTCATAACTGGCAAACACTTTGACCACTTGAGTAGGATGGAGGTCACCAAATTAAAAAAAAAATTTTTTTTGTCATTAATGAGTAATCTGAGGAGACAGTTTGAGACTTCGTCAATATTCTGCTCCTCAATATATTTTCACTCAGTGGTTTTTAACATCACTGATTATTCTTGCCTGAATCAATTCTTACAATGAAGTTTTCCAAATAGTGAAACTTCATTATAACTCTTCATTTTCTTCTGTATTCATAGGTATGATGGTAGATTCACAGGTTTTCTTCCCCATCATTTGTTATCCACAACTGTCATTCATGGGAAGATTTTTAAAAGCTTGGTATATGCTGAACTATGAATATTTTAAAAGACAATTATATAACCTGCACAGAGTTATTTCTTAATGGTTAGAATATTTTAAACTTAGAATGGTAATTTTATATGTTAAAATAACATCTAGCATAAATAATATTTGGATAAGTATAGCAATTTGTTTTAATAAATAAATAAATATTTCTATACAGGATTCAGCATTACATTTTAACCTAACAGATAAATCATAATCACATCATGGCCTTTACATACTATTTTCTAGTAAGTTTCACAGGAAATAAAACATGTGTACACAAACACACACGTTTACAAAGCAAAGAGTAATTGTGTGTAAATGAGCCAGTGAAAGAATCAGCTTAAACAGTAATTGCAAATTTTTCTTGATAATAGACGTTGAATATTTGCATTGAATAGACACTGAAATATTGTTTTTCTGAGTGGGAGAAAAATGGCTTGGGTTTGAAATAAGAGAAAGGTTTCTTGGATTATTCTAATTATGCTGAAAGCTTCAGTACCAGTTAGAAAGCAACCTCCATTACTTTCTCCTATTTAATACAAGCTAGAAACTGCTACCGAGGGTCCAAATCTGTTTGTCTAGACGTGGAGGGTTTGAATATCCCAACTGGGCAGCCACTGTTCCAGTCATGAAAAACAGAAAAAAAGAAAATCCTTGTGGTATTTCTATTGGAACGACATGAAAACTAAGGAAGCACATACATTCAGGATCAAAATGTACTATTGGCATGAAATGCTGGGGTAAGTTGTACAAAAATACATTAAACATAAAATGGAATCTTGACTAAAAGAAAAATATAGTATGATGTTACAACTAAAAACACCATGTTTTACCTAGGAAGAAATGTGAAATCCGGTCAAACAAATACTGAAATTTGGTTTTGCTGGACATATCTTCAATACCATCAATGATGGCCATTTTACTGTGGCTAGAAACATGAGTCAACCTGTGTGTTTAACAGGATCACACAGACCACCAGTCCATCAGGATTATGTTTTGTGCTGAAATGCCATTTAATGGTTTGACTGTATTGGCACAGTAGGCAGATTCCTTTGTGCTGATATGAAGTGGAGCGCCATACAAATCATGACCTGTGTCATGCTGGAACAGATTTTGAAGTCAGGAATGCCTTGAAGCCAATGGTAGTAAGCCTCTAAGAACTTAATTTTCTGTAACATTGCTGGGGGATGTGCCTGGTCAGCCACGGCGTACTGGCTGGCCTCCTAAAGTGGAAGGAGGCTGGCTGTGTGGGTGGTGTAGTCCAAGACAGGACTATAGGAAGGAGCTCAGGTTGCTCTCGCCATGACGATGAGGCAAGCACTGTAAAAGTGACCCATAGAGAGAGCCATGGGGACAGCAAGGGAGGCAAGGAGACCAGACTCGAAGGGAAAGTGTCAGAGCAGAAAGGGGAAAAATGGAAAAGAGGTGGAAGTGGAACTTGATTTTATATGAATGATATTTATTCAGGAATATTTTAATGTAAGACAGTGTTAAGAATGCACATAGACCAGAGAAAGCAATCAGGGAAAAAAAGAGCTGATGCTGAATCAGTCTAATGCTACCCTTTGTCAACCACTGTGGCTAATGTCCCCTTCCCAGATCAAGGCATGGCGTTGCAGCTCGATAGCTCCCATTTGTGCTGGGGAGGAACAGTACAACAAACGAACACCCCTGAGATACTAGCAATGATATCATAAAGTTAACACACTAAAGAATCACACAGGGCACACGGGAGAACCCACACCCTCTCCTGGCACAGAATTCTTACTCTTAACACAGCAGGCAAGTCCATCAAGCACAGCAGTCTGGGACTACTTGGGATATAATCTAATACTACTACAAACAGTACAAAGGGTGTGGCCATATGAGGTTATATGTCTCACCAGAAGTAAAAAACCAGCTTGGGGTTACTCAGAACCCAGCATTCCTAATATCCACAAATAACTTTAAATTCACCAATAACATTGTCAAATTTTTCTAATAAAATTTTCTAAGAATGTGAAGATGAAAAAGTCTAGATCAATGATTCCTTTCCTGTGTGTATCAGTTATCTTGGCCACTATGTGGGCAAAGGCTGACTCCCAGCCCCAGCTAAGTGAACTGTCTCACCAAACAGTATGTACTGTCATAGGAACAGGTGTGTCACTGCTATGGAAAAATAGCCACAGCATCTTCCCACACTCGGCATACTACGCAACATTTCACCTTTGGATTAGGGTGTCGGCCAATGACAAGGCGAACAGGTCCTGGGGGGCATTTGCTCAAGATGGCGTGGACTTTGCTTAAAGCAGCATGGCGAACGTTGACTGAATTCACTTCCAGGATTTGATCTCCACGGCTAGAGAGGGCAACATAATCAATACGCTGGTAATAGTTAGATTTGTACAAGATTTCCTTTGGGAGAGGTTTATAATAAATCTTTCCTGAATACTTTAAAGAAGCAAATGATGTTCTTTCTTCTTTGCATACATGTAAAAAAGTAACATTTATATCAACACATTAGATTTAAAATTGGCAAAGGCCATTGTACATATCTACTCATGTTTCTGGAAGTTGTGAAGTTAAAATTGATAATAAGACAACAAAGGTTACCATTTCTTGAGCACACAGTGTGCATCAGGAACTATAGGGAGCAATTTACATAACAATGCTTTGCATAGGTACTATTATTTCCATCATAGATAAGGCCATGGGCTCAGAGATCACCCTGATAGCAAACACTGTTGAACTCAGGTCTATTTACCTTTTGATCACCACGTGATAGCCCCTTGGCCACCATTGGTTTCTTTTTCCCTACCATCTTGAAATGATTATCATAAGATAATTTAAGGAGGAAATATCTGAAGCTCAAAGGTTATCCAAGAATTTGTAAAAACGTTTCAAATTTGAACAAATGAGAAACTGGGGACAAGATGCCCATTCTGACTTGAAATTACAGGGAGAGAACTCAGTAGGAGAGAACAAAGACTCTTTATGTGGGGTTTGAAGAATGTTCATTTGGCAGGCTCCAGACATATGGAACCATTCAAGAAAGAAACATCATCTTGGGATGTCATTAAAGGATTTTTTTTCCTGGGGTTCTAAAAGTATATTTTCTTTAATGTACTTTGGATGATTTGCTACATTTTTTTTTCATATGGAAATTCACTCTGCTGATTAACTAAAAACATAATATAATCTATTAACAGGGCCCAAAATGGCAACCTCAAGGAATGTCATTTTGACAGTTCTTCAGCTGCTTAAGATGTAGAAGCTTATAGGGGAGAAAGGTGATACTGTTTGCACAGAGTACTTTGTGCAATACATGTACATTCTTGTGCAGTTTAGGTGGGCACGAACCCACTGCAATTACTATATAACACAACACCTAGGCATCTTTTGTATAAACAGAAAACCTATGCTACAACTCAACTAGCTGGATTGAGAAATCAGACATGTAGTGACTGCAGACAATTAAGTATCTAGACATCACCACTCAAAAAGGTATGAAACAACAGGAGAAATTGAGGAGATTATACTTAATAATAAAAGCTTCCTATTCAAGGTCATGATTTGAGGACTCTCTTGTATCCAGTGATTCTGAACCATTATGAGAAGTTCTCAGCATCGCATATGAATTTTACACAAATGAACATAAAAGTGGAAGAAAATGTTTAGATAATCACAGATGGCTGTTTAGAATTGTATTTTGTCGAATTTCTGAAACTGAAATTCTGAGTCCAAATAGAAAAAATAGGTAGGGAAAAGCAAGATCCAGAGTTCTCTAATTCAACTAAAGTTCATTTATATCAGCTTTTCATCTTTGGAGATGCTGTTAATTATAATCCTGGTTATATTATTGCAAATAATACAAAGATATAGAATCACACAAAGGAATGTAAGGGGGCAGATCTCTTCCCTGTGTATGTATCCACATATTCATGAACACACCAGCAGCCTATACTATGATGTTCACAACAAACCTCAGGTTGCTCTCCATCTTGGCCACTGATCCTGGGGCAAGGCTGTGAATGTAGATGCCCGGAGGGCTGTTTTCTAGAGCCAGGCAGCAGGCCCCAATACCCAATCCAACTCTTGGCTCTGTGAGAGGCATCATTCAAAGAAAACAAAATCAAAAGCAGAAAAGAGTGTAAGTGATTTGAAACTTGCATTGATGTACCAATAACCATTTATTTTTTGATGAGACTTAGAACCTAAGTCCTGATTTTGTTGATATTGCCATATTCTGCTGATGAAATGAACCTGTGCCAGGACCAGGGCTAACTATAAACTGTGAATTAGTCAGTGGTCTACTCTCTGATTAGCCTAAAGAGCCTCCTCAAATCTGCTTTTGGAAAAAGGCAGAGTGGAAGTAATATTTTTCATTCTGGACCCATAGATTTAGATTTTCTTTTGCCTCTCTTTTTAGCAACTAATCTCTTGGTTATTTTATTGCTCATCGTATTTCTACAGTAGGTAGGGAGGAAAAGGAAACAAAGATGAAAAGCAGTAAGATCTGGTGATGCCCATGACTGTCAGTTACTGGTGTTAACTGTACTCCTAACTATAATCATTTGTTCTTTAAAATTTTTTATTAGCCCTAGAATTTAGCTAGTGAGTGATTTTTTTAAAAAACACGTGTCTCTGACACAGCAATTCATCTGGGAAGAGCTAAAGGACTCTGTGCTACTGATAACTTCCCTTTGCTTTCGTAAAATGATTAAATCTCTACTTTCGATTCCACTGTCCATTTAGAGGACACCATATGTTGTTGGTAGTAGGTTGTTTCAAAGGAACAATTTATAGAAAAAAAGTATATAAGGTTAACCTAAAAACGGATTACAAATGGTTATTTGAGAGAGGTTAACAGGAGTGAGGAATAGCTGGTATCACCTTTGTTCAGTGTTACTTCCATGACAATTCTGTCCTTGGGCCCAGGGGTCTTCCGACCCAGGGATGAAGAACTGCTTTCATCGGAGCCCCCTGCTGGGGTCCCCCCACTGGCGTTGAAGTTTGGGGAGCTGGATCTGCTCACATGCGTGGGTGTTGAGCAGGGCGTCAGGCTTGGGCTCAGTAACTTTGTGCGCACCGTTAAGACAAATAATCCACTCCGGATTTGCTGAGAAGACAAAGAGAAAGTAGGCCTAAAACATTCAGACTGCCCGTATGTCAAAAGATGGGCAAAATATCACTAAACCCAAATGGAAAGAAAGAAAGGAAGTAAAGAAGATACAGGGGATCAATAGGAATGTTGTTACCTTAAAGGTATGAATGGCTTCTTGAAATGTCAAGCCCTTTATTGGTATTCCATTCACATCTAGGATTTCATCCCCTAGTGACCAAATATGAGAATTACATTAGTACCAAGCTTAGGATCTAACTGCTCCATCGGTGAGATAGGTTCCTGATTTACAACGCTATAAAATAAATTTTATAAATTTTACTGTTCTAATCCACTTTCATTAGTTGAGCTCCCAGGAATGTCACAAAAAAGAATGGGACTATTAAGGACAGTGCATATTCTTATATAGTAATTCTGTATTTCCATCATTAATTAAAACAGCTATGGGATGCACTGAGATCTTGATTCTAAGCCATTGCCAAGTTTGACAATAGATGTCCTACATTTAGAGACAAAACTGCAAAACCTGAGTCCCAATTCTTTCCTCATAATTTTTGCTTAAAAATTTAAACCCACTGGTAATGAAGCATGAACACAAACAACATGTGAGAAGCCACTCCTATGTTTGCAGAAAGACAAGCTCCTTGAGCATGAAGAATCATCATGGTGTATAGAGAGTGGTTTTAGAAGATAGAGACAAAGAACTTGCAAGATATTATTTAAGAATGGTGGCCCCACCTCTATAAACAGTCTAGATACCTGGTCTTATCAATGCTATTCCAGGTTCTCAGCCATTAAGCTGGCAAGTTACTATAGACTGTTGTCTAAGGGATTACTGTGGGCTGATGTCAAATCTCTCTCCCCACTAAACTTTCCTGGACTCATGTTCAACCCCAAGAAGGTGAAATCAGGTCACTCTTCAAGCTTTCCAGCCATTGACAGTGTCTGCTGGGGATCTAAGGACTGGACATCCTGCTGACATCTCAGAGCTTGTTTCTGGTTTGTGCTCTTGGGACATGGTCTGTTTTGTGGAATAAGAGTTCATCAAAAACACCATGAAAGGGCCCCAGAGACAGGAACGGATGAACCTCGCACATCAGTACGGGGCAGGAGGGGGACTTCCTGCACCAATAACAAGGTGCAGGACAGCCCAAGAACACACCTTTCCACTTCTCACGGACAAGCAATCCCAGGAGCACACAGTGCATTCGATGAAAGGAATCCTGCAGAGGGGTTTGAATGTGCAGCAGTAGCTCATGCATTTGTTATGTGTCTTTTCCCTTTAATGCAATTACAGAAGTTGTAAAATAAGCGAACTAATCTGTGTAAAAATCATTACCTAACTAGGTGAGGTTTTTGGTTTGTTTCCACATGGGAAAGGGATAGAAACACTAAAATGATTGCTCACACTCTTAAAAATCTCTATGTAAGACATTTTGAAGATAGATTGCTTAACACATTGAAAATCCATTTCAATGACTTACATTTATTGTAAATGAACACATGAAAAAACAGTATTTGGGAAAATCAACTGCTATTAGCTTTTCCTAACTATTGATTTTTTCCCCCTCCATTTTGCTCCATTCTGCCACCATTGCAGGATTACTTTCATTCAAGTTTACATATGGCATATCCATTTAAAAATGCTTTGCTAGAATTTTACATTGTTCTGAAACCAGACACAAATGCCACCTGGGAGTTAACCTTCCCTGTACGAGACAGAAATAAATATTCTGCTATCAAATACTAAGCTTCATCACCTCGTATCATTAGCATATAGACTTCCAAGGTCGTTCTTCCTAAAAAAAGGGAGACTCCAATTCACTGTTACCAGCTTTAAAAAACATGCCAGTATAACACAATAGCACCTATAGTTTGGGTCAACTGAAGTGAACAGTCACAGCAGCTTTGAAGGTAACTAGAAATATTGTGATTTAATCATTTCATGAAGGAAATGTATTTATAAGGGATGAAAAATCAGGATTCATAAATAAGTCCTAGAGATCTAATGTACAGCATGGTGACTACAGTTAACAATACTGTGTTATATACTCAAAAATTCTTGAGAGTAGATCTTGAATGTTCTCACCATGCACACAAAGGCATTAGGCAAGGCCATGGTTGTGTTAACTAATAACCTTCCTGCGGTAATTATTCTGCAGTGTGTACCTGTATCAAATCATCATGGTATATATACCTTAATTCACACGATGTTATATATCAATTGTATCTTAAAGCTGCGAGGAAAACAAAGCACTGTCTAATATGCTTATGCATGGCAAACGGTAGGTGCTCCGGAGAATGTAAAAGATGTTTGTGTACTCCAGCCCCCAGGCAAGAGTGGATCTAAACTTTCAGGACCTTTCAAGATAAGGAACATGATCAAGGACTAAGGGGACACAATGGACAAATTTAAAGACCCAATAAAGGTATCAAGTCACTTTCTACGTATCGCACTTTATCCCTGCAACAACTCCTCCAGGTGGGTGTTAATATTCCAAGTTTACAACGAAGGGAAGTGAAGCTCCAGTCTATCAGTTATCCAAGGTCATGACGTGGTAGGTGTTAGACTCAGCCCAGGTATTCTGGACTCCCACGTCCGTGGCCTTAGACATTTGCCAGTTGCTTCACATCGTGCAGGGAGCAGATCTCAAGGGATCAAAGCCTCCCGCCAGTGAGGACCACCAAGAAGCCTTCTCCTTACCTTCTTTAAGTCTTCCATCCTCTGCAGCTGATCCATTTGGGAAAATGGTCTTGACAAAAATCCCCATCTGTCCTCGAATGCAGTCTCGACCTCCAGCAATGCTGAAGCCAAGGCCCTGTACCCAAAGCAGTTGGGGGTCCAAGCTGTCATTGCAGTATTGAACTGAGGGCACCTTTTTCCATTTCATTATTTCACTGATGGCATCCTTTTGGTTGCAGTACTTCATTGAGGTGTCTTTCCCAACCTGGCTCAGAGTTAAGCTAACCAGCTGTAAATTCGAATTTGTGTTCCCTTCCATTTCCCTCCTCAGATCTATTTGCATTGTACTTGTTATGCACTAAACATTAAAGGGAGAAAGTTTTAGGTTGAAATATGAAATTGCCAACATTTGACAATCTTTGATCTCTCAAAATGGCAATTTCACATGGATTCACTTATAGCTCATGAGTCATTTCACAATATCAGGTGCCATATTTGTCATATTCTTTGGTTTTTACTTTTTCCATTTTGGATAATATCAAAGTGGTTATTTTGAAATATGCATAATGTCAATTAGATTTATTCTTTTTTTTTTTTTTAGGAGAGCAAGGTACAGGCTTTTATTTAGAGATAAAGTGAAAGGCCAGAGCTCCCGGCTCATGCCAGGAGGGGACAAGAGAGTCCCTAGATTTATTCTTTTTATGATAATAGCTATGCTATGAAATTTATTCAAAAGGATAACTGTGAGTATTCCCCGAGGCTGCAGAATCTGCTTTTCTTTCTTTTAAGTGGCAAAAGTTGGGGCATTCAGTGCACCCTGGGCTGTGCCTTTGCTGCCAGAGGCTAGAGACTCCTTATGTCGGGCAAAAAGTATGTGACCATCTCTCTCAGAGGCGCAAATCCATACAAAGGCCACTTAATTTATTCCTCTATACATTTAACTTTTTATTTCAAATAAAAACAATAATAAAAGCAACCATTTAAGACATATATGTGAACATTCCCCTGGAGGGCAAAAGAGTGTGGAGGAAAGAGCTCACCTTGCCTTTTTCTTTGTAGAGCCCAATGATAGAGATGACTGATGGCCGAATGAGTCTCCAAGGAGAGTCCACCTGGGTGGTGCTGAGGGAGCGGGTGGACTTCTTCACAATGTGGTATTCCTAAAAATCAGCACGCAGCAAGGTGAGAGGCACTCTCAGTTATCCTTCTGTGGCCTCCGGCATAAAAACATATTCAGATTTTGAAAACTTCAGTTGTCTTTTGGGTTAGACAGCCAGTTCTCTCTGGTCCATCTCTGGTCCAGCGCCTTAAAGGGGATTCCTTATAAATGGCATCTCCTGAATTGATTGCCAGGCCCTCCTCCCCACATAAAGAGCTGCTTGGGAGCCGCAAACACCTGGCTTGCTCTCTCCTCAACCATACTCTACAGATCCTACTTGCAGTCTGGAAGGGAGTCAGGAACCAGAGAGAAGAGGCCTCGGAAGGTAGGATGCCCATCCTGTGGTGAGGAAGTCACCCTCTACCTCCATCCCAAGTTCACAATCATGATTAGAAAGTATCTTGCCACTTCAAGTTCAATTCACTCACTCAAGCCCTTATTTCTTATAAAATCCAAACCATAAACCCAGACAACTGTTACTCCATATAAAACATTCCACTGAGAAACTGCAGTGGCTTCAGTTCTAATCCCTCACATTTGGAAAATAAAATATTTTCCCATAAGCCACACTTTCCCATCTTGGCACACAACAGCTCAAATCTTGGTCTTTTTTTCCTGTCTATCACCCACAATATACATGTGTGTAGGCAGGGTATACTATAACATATACCGGAGATAAAGTGAATTTATTGCTAAAGCACTTTGACAATCCAGCTCCTCACTATTCTTAAAATAATAAATTTCTTTTAAGACACAGATATTCCAGCCTAAGTGGAAAAAAAGTCCCTTCATGTTTAACATGAGAAAAGAGACATTAGAAAAGAGTTTTTATCCTTCACTAGTATATTCTACATTCAAAGGTAGAAATGACATGTCTGCTAATGATGGCCAAATTTTTATATTCCTGGCCACCTGGGAGTTAACCTTCCCTGAACATTTGTATTTTGCAGTTTTACAAAATATCTGCCAGCTCTATTGGCCTCCCAGACTCTGATTCATTAGAGTCTTTTACTGAACCATTACTGAAACCATTATGGAGATAGCCAGACTTAGTCCACGGGTTTTCAGCCTTGGAATACAGAGGTTCATGTGTGGGCCTGTGAGGGAACTCTCCCTCTGATCTGCAGTCTCCAGCAGTACCCCATCCCCTCTTCCCTTTGGAAGCTTCCCTGTATGCTTCACTGTTCCCTTCAAGAGTTTCAGAGGTCCCGTTGCACTTCTTAGACTTCTGCTGTCCAATATGGCAGCCACTACTCAGGTTATCTATACTTAAGATGCATTAAAATGAAAAATACACTCTTCAGTCTCACCAGCCACTTCTCATCTGCTCCAGAGACACATATGACTACCGGAGTGGACAGCATGGATATGAGACATTCCCAGCACAGCAGAGAGCCTTATTGGATGGCTCTATTACAGACAATACTTTTTAATGGAGGGAGAGAGAACAAGAAGAATGAAGGGTGAATCTTGGGAGAAAAAGGGAAGGGTAGAAAATGAGAGGAGAAGACAGAGGAGGGGCTATTTGAAAAGGGATAACTGTCTCTTCTCTAAAATCTTCACTAGCCTGTCCTTCCTGGCTTCTAGAAGCCTGGTTGGAAATAGGTATTTCTGGGCTATTGATACGTCAGATTTCCTCACAGGTCGGTAGAGAATCACCGCCTCCCTGTTAGACAGCCTTGGCCCCGGTGGCAGTAAACCTTCTCTCGTCTTCTGCACTGAACCTGCCTGGCAGTGTGGCTCTCCTGTCTTTCGGACCTCTCTCTGACTCTGCTGGTCCAACCGGATCCTTCTAAGCAGACCACAGACTCGCCCCCAGTTGCGGGTCTGGCGGAGTTTTGGCCTGGTCCCAAGCACGTCTGCCCCACCTTTCCTCGGTACCCCACCTCAAACTGGCTTTGTGCGGATTCAACACAAACTAGCCTGATGGGCAGCTGCCTCTGAAACGTGGGCCCTCCTATTGTACAGCCAGGTAAAGGTTTTTTTCACAGTGATTCTGGCATATTACTTTGAGCAAAATATTCAACCTCTTTGAGATTCAGTTGTTTGATCTGTAAAACGGTAATAACACACCAAAAGTAAGGGTCTGGCCCGACGACCTGGCCTGGGCTTTGAGCTCCGTGTGAGTCTGGGTGTCATCGCGGCCACACCCCATCCTCTATGTCTGCCTCGCTGTGGGCCTGGACACAGGATGCCAACGGTCCCCTTGGGCCCTCTGGCTGATGCTTTGAGGACTCAAAGAACAGTCCGCAAATTCCCAGAGACTGAGCGGGCCTCCGACTGGGTTATGAGATGCCTACCCGGGTTCTGCAGGGTTGAGGATGACAGAATCGAGGAGCCCGGAGCTCCCATGGGTACGGGCCCTGGAATATTCACCTCACCACCTACGTCCCCCACCCCTGCAGCCCCTCTGACTTCGGCTGTTTGAGCCATTATTGTGTAACGGTAGGAGCCTAGGCACAGTACAGGCACAGCCCCCCGCCCTCTCTCAGGGGGCCCAGCACCTGCCCACTAAAATATTTTCCCATAAGCCACACTTTCCCATCTTGGCACACAACAGCTCAAATCTTGGTCTTTTTTTCCTGTCTATCACCCACAATATACATGTGTGTAGGCAGGGTATACTATAACATATACCGGAGATAAAGTGAATTTATTGCTAAAGCACTTTGACAATCCAGCTCCTCACTATTCTTAAAATAATAAATTTCTTTTAAGACACAGATATTCCAGCCTAAGTGGAAAAAAAGTCCCTTCATGTTTAACATGAGAAAAGAGACATTAGAAAAGAGTTTTTATCCTTCACTAGTATATTCTACATTCAAAGGTAGAAATGACATGTCTGCTAATGATGGCCAAATTTTTATATTCCTGGCCACCTGGGAGTTAACCTTCCCTGAACATTTGTATTTTGCAGTTTTACAAAATATCTGTCAGCTCTATTGGCCTCCCAGACTCTGATTCATTAGAGTCTTTTACTGAACCATTACTGAAACCATTATGGAGATAGCCAGACTTAGTCCACGGGTTTTCAGCCTTGGAATACAGAGGTTCATGTGTGGGCCTGTGAGGGAACTCTCCCTCTGATCTGCAGTCTCCAGCAGTACCCCATCCCCTCTTCCCTTTGGAAGCTTCCCTGTATGCTTCACTGTTCCCTTCAAGAGTTTCAGAGGTCCCGTTGCACTTCTTAGACTTCTGCTGTCCAATATGGCAGCCACTACTCAGGTTATCTATACTTAAGATGCATTAAAATGAAAAATACACTCTTCAGTCTCACCAGCCACTTCTCATCTGCTCCAGAGACACATATGACTACCGGAGTGGACAGCATGGATATGAGACATTCCCAGCACAGCAGAGAGCCTTATTGGATGGCTCTATTACAGACAATACTTTTTAATGGAGGGAGAGAGAACAAGAAGAATGAAGGGTGAATCTTGGGAGAAAAAGGGAAGGGTAGAAAATGAGAGGAGAAGACAGAGGAGGGGCTATTTGAAAAGGGATAACTGTCTCTTCTCTAAAATCTTCACTAGCCTGTCCTTCCTGGCTTCTAGAAGCCTGGTTGGAAATAGGTATTTCTGGGCTATTGATACGTCAGATTTCCTCACAGGTCGGTAGAGAATCACCGCCTCCCTGTTAGACAGCCTTGGCCCCGGTGGCAGTAAACCTTCTCTCGTCTTCTGCACTGAACCTGCCTGGCAGTGTGGCTCTCCTGTCTTTCGGACCTCTCTCTGACTCTGCTGGTCCAACCGGATCCTTCTAAGCAGACCACAGACTCGCCCCCAGTTGCGGGTCTGGCGGAGTTTTGGCCTGGTCCCAAGCACGTCTGCCCCACCTTTCCTCGGTACCCCACCTCAAACTGGCTTTGTGCGGATTCAACACAAACTAGCCTGATGGGCAGCTGCCTCTGAAACGTGGGCCCTCCTATTGTACAGCCAGGTAAAGGTTTTTTTCACAGTGATTCTGGCATATTACTTTGAGCAAAATATTCAACCTCTTTGAGATTCAGTTGTTTGATCTGTAAAACGGTAATAACACACCAAAAGTAAGGGTCTGGCCCGACGACCTGGCCTGGGCTTTGAGCTCCGTGTGAGTCTGGGTGTCATCGCGGCCACACCCCATCCTCTATGTCTGCCTCGCTGTGGGCCTGGACACAGGATGCCAACGGTCCCCTTGGGCCCTCTGGCTGATGCTTTGAGGACTCAAAGAACAGTCCGCAAATTCCCAGAGACTGAGCGGGCCTCCGACTGGGTTATGAGATGCCTACCCGGGTTCTGCAGGGTTGAGGATGACAGAATCGAGGAGCCCGGAGCTCCCATGGGTACGGGCCCTGGAATATTCACCTCACCACCTACGTCCCCCACCCCTGCAGCCCCTCTGACTTCGGCTGTTTGAGCCATTATTGTGTAACGGTAGGAGCCTAGGCACAGTACAGGCACAGCCCCCCGCCCTCTCTCAGGGGGCCCAGCACCTGCCCACCAGCTGTTACACCGACACCTGAGCGCCCCCTGCACAAGTGGTGGTGGTTTGCCACCAGCTCCTGGCAGCTGAAAGCAGCTCCCGGTTCCAAAACACACAGTGGGAAGGGATCAAGATGGTGAGATCCGACAAGGGATTCTTTTTCTCTACTGTTTTCCAGACGGGCTTGCTCCTAATCTCCCCGCACTCCCACTCTCTGTACTCTCTCTCCGGGCCCACAAACACGCATAGTTCCTCAGAACTCGTGTTAGACAGCCTTGGCCCCGGTGGCACTAAATCTTCTCTCGTCTTCTGCACTGAAACTGCCTGACGGTGTGGCTCTCCTATCTTTCTGACTTCTCTCTGACTCTGTTTGGTCTTTCAAGCCTTTGCTGGTTCTTGAAAGAATAAAAGCCTAGAGACCCGACCCACGGGGCCCAAACAGGCTCTTCCATCCGCGAGGGCCACTGTGACTGCAGGAGAGGCAAGGGCCCCCTGGTCTTACCTGTGCCGCTCCACCAGAGTCCAGGAGCTGGGGAAGGGAGTGCTTTCGGCCGTCGCGGGAGACCTCCAACATCCTGGCCCGGGGGTCCCCGTTTCGCACCATCAGCTCATTGTATTCCTCAACAGACTCCAGACGGTGTACACCCCCTTGAAAAAATGGGGGAAAACATGGTTTGATGGCATAAACTTGCTACATTTACACTCACATTCATGCTTCTCAGAAGGCCTGGTGTTCAAACTTTCAAAGCACCCAGCTCACCACGTTCTTCCATCAAGCTCTGCACAAGCTAGGCGTGTGTTGAGGCCATTAATGTCAGGCTGTGAAGAAAGTGCCAGTTTTAAAGGGACCAGACTGGGTAAAGGGCAAGGTGTGCGTTTCATCCAAGTGAGAGCAGCCATTGCTGATGAGGCAATAAACAATAGAGAGGATGTTATCTGTAGACGGTTTTCTAGTGAGGGAGGAATATCACTTTGTGGTTGGTATAGTTCCATTGTTTGAGCAGATGCTTTTTTTCACATAGAGCAGTGACTTTTTAAACAAACTTTTCTTTAAAGTCTAACAGCTTACAGAAATGTCACAAATCAAAAGTGTATATTCCATGAAATTTCACAAAGTGAATGTACAACATCCAGACCAAGGAATACAATAGCATCAGAACCAGGAGCCCTTTTTGTGTCACTAACCACCCTTTATCCAAGGGTGAACATTACCTTGACTTCTAATATCATACATTACTTTTGCTTATCTTCAAATGTCATATAAACAAACACATATATGTCCTTTTTTTGTATCTGGCTGCTCATTCTTAGCATTTGTTTGTGAAATTCCATTATATTGCTGCATTCTAATAGTTTGTTCATCCATTTCTGTATATTATCTTATGGCATAAACATCAACATGCTATTGCTAATGGATATCGGTTTGTGTTCACTTTTAGATCTAGGACAAGGGTCAAGAAACTTTTTTTGGTAAAGTCCAGATAGAATGTATTTAGGCTTTGTGGGCCACAAATGGTTTCTGTCACACATTCTTTTTTTTTTTTTTTTTATTAGTATAATTTAGCCAACTTCCCAGGTCAATAAATACAAGTCTATGAGGGCTATATTTTATTTTATTTTTGATAAACATACTATGATTTATTTAACAAGTTATCCTTATTAATGGGTGTTAAAGTTTCCAATAGGTACATTCCCAAGATGAANTTTTTTTTTTACTGTAGCTTTGTTTTTTATTAGTATAATTTAGCCAACTTCCCAGGTCAATAAATACAAGTCTATGAGGGCTATATTTTATTTTATTTTTGATAAACATACTATGATTTATTTAACAAGTTATCCTTATTAATGGGTGTTAAAGTTTCCAATAGGTACATTCCCAAGATGAACATCCTTGAACATACTTTAAAAAACAATACTTGCACATTATCTTCTTCCCATAAATTCTTGAAGTCAGATTGGGTCAAAAGGTATTTTCATTCAGAATTGTTTACATGTTTTCATACTTCCATCCAGAAAAGTTATATTAGTTTACACTCTTATTAACATTGATTGGGAGATATTATTTGCCCCAAATTATTACCAACAATAGACTTCGTAAATATTTGCAATGTGGTAGAAAAAGTTCATGTTATACTTTGAATTTACCTCATGTCACACATTCTTTAAAAAGTCTTTTTATGACCCACTACAACTGTAGAAAGTCTTTCTCACTTGTGGGCTATACAAATACAGCTGGGGACAGTAATTTACTGACCCCTGCACTCTCACTCTCTGTACTACAGACTAGAATATATGGTAACCGAACCTAGAATATATGGTTACCGAACATTCCTATGGATGTCGTATCTGTTGGATGTAGACCTAGGAGTTGCTGGGTTACAGGTACACGTGCACCTTTGACAAAGCTATATCACCAATGTGTGAGAGTTCTAGTTTCTCCACATCCTTGTCACACTTGACAGTGTCAGTTTTTTAAAAAATTCTGGCCACTCTGGTGGATATGTTCTGGCATTTCATTGTGGTTTTAAATTCATATTTCACCAATGAATAATGAGATTGTACTGCTATGCAAATATTCATTGGCTGTTCTTCTTTTGCAAAATTATAAAGTGCCTGTTCAAGTCTTTTGCTCATTATTTTATTAGCTGTCTTTCTGTTGTTGGTTTATAGGATTTTTTTAAATTGTTAATATATTTTGGATACGAATTCTTCATAGGATCTATGTATTGTAATCACCTTCTCCATGGCTGTGATTTGCCTTCTTATTCTCTTGATTGAATTTTTTGATGAACAAAAGTTCATGACTTTAATGTAATACATACAACATACCAACTTTTCCCTTTATGGTTAACACTTTTGTGTCTTGTTTAAGCAATTTTTATAGTAATAATTTTTAGAGACACCTTTATCAGTACCTCATTTATATTATATGTTATTTTAAAATAAGATAATTTACAGGGCTTTAATCTTTTTTTTATTATTTTGGCATTGTTAATGTACAATTACTTGAACAACATTATGGTTACTAGCAGGGCTTTAATCTTAAATGATGGCTCAATTACACTGAATATAGCTATAATCACATTATAATGTTTACATTATACATGCTATATATATGTGTGTGTGTGTGTATATATATATATATATATATATATATATATATATA